GACTCTAACCAGGCCAGGAGGGTCCTTTGATTTTCCCTTTGCTGTATTGCCCGAATTGCTGTGGGGGGGCTAGCTCAAAACCTTCTCAAAGGCGGGTAAATGACGATACAGGTTTTTTTTTGCTTTCCAATTGCTTTAGGTGGTTAGCCTCTGCGTTCCCACCTTTGGGAACCAAAAAATTTATGATGAAGGGGCCAAATTTTTCCATAGGGGGCGTTTTTAAAACCCCTCCCTCAGCATCTTGGGTAAGCAGTGGCGGGATATGGGGGTCATACTGCCTGGTCCCTTGGGGTTGGAATTGGTACATTTTAGCTTTCTTCCAACGCGGGGGTTCCGGCCCCCACACTTGTTAAGCTCAGTAGGCCTCCCCTAAGTTATTCAAGTACCGTGAGCTTTTAAAAAAAAAGAACCGCTTTGGGAAAAATGAAATGGCTTTGGGAAAATGACGACTTTTTGGAAAGTGAGCTGACCTTGGAAATGACCGATGGGGGGAAAGGACCTGACCTTGGAAAAGTGCCTGAGGTGGGGAAAATGACCTGACCTTTAAAATGCCCACGGGAAAGTGACCTAAATGAAAATGACCTGACACCGGGGGAAAGGGCCTGACCTTTTAATCTTTCCCATAAAACTTTTTTGTCTTAGGGTCTAATACTAACAATGATTACCTTTCGAAAATGACCCAGGACACTTCGATAACACTTTTTAATTTTTAACTAATAAAAAGTACCTTAAGTGTTTTCTGACGTTATTCTTGGTAAATAAAAAAATTTAACACGTAAATTCACAGACTCACGAAAGAGATTTTTTAAAACAAAACCTAAAACAGAGTTTAAGAAACTCTATCATCGGTGACAGTACAAGATACAAGATACAGAAACAGTAGCTAAAACACACAGATTCTCTTATATTTAATGTTTTATTGATGATGTGTTGCCCTAACACATCTATATGAAATCACAAACTTATGTTTGACTTGGGTGTCCAGTAGCTCGTTTTTTTTTTATTTTTAGCGTACTCAACTCACACACTGAGGTCCGTGGTTTGACCCCCGGTACGAGTGGAAACACTGGGGGCGTGTTTCCTTAAGACACCTGCTGTCCATGTTCACTTATCAGTAAAATAGGTAGTGGGTGTTAGCCGACTGGTGTGGGTCGCATCCTGGGGACAAAATTAACCTAATTTGCCCGAAATGTTCAGCATAATAAGAGACTTTCTATATAATATATCATTGATGTCAGCTATGGTCTGTATAAGTTACATCACATACTTGTAGATATAAACATTATTAAATTATTATTATTCTTGATAAATTATTATTATAATCAAGGGGGAAGCGCTAAACCCGGAGGATTATACAGCGTCTGGGGGGGATTGGAAGGCATTCAGGTTTAATTCGGGAACTGGAGCACCAACCCAAATTTGGTATAAACCTTGGTAATAATACCAAACAAGTTGGTTAGAAAGACACGTAAGCAAACACTATAACATAATTTATTAAAAAACTTTGGGTCCTGGGACCTTGATCACTTCTAACCAGTGATCAAGGTCCCGGGGACCGAAACGTTTTCTAAAAAAATGTTATAGTGTTTGCTTACGTGTCTTTCTAAACCAACAGATCCAATTCCCTAAATCAAGAGCCCCTCACCAATATTCTTGATAAAGCCTACTGTGTAGGCGAAGTGCTACGAATAAAAGTTCCATATAACTGCACTTGTCTCTCGTTGACTGACTTTAAATTCGGCAATGTATATCCCGTGTTATATATAGCAAATCCCCAGCAGTACTGGGTACCCAAGAAGAGGAACTTTCAAGCGACTCCTACAATATCTTTTTCCCTTCCAACTTTCTCGTTTTTACTGCACTTATACCTCAACAAAAGCCCCCATACATTTAGCTTCTAATTTTTTAAAACGAAAAGAAAAGCTGTATATAATTGAAAAGCTGTCAGTGTTAAAGTTCCGATCGATACCATGCCTAGCCCTTCTAGGGTAGGGTAGGTGCCTGAGCCCGAGCCTTTAGCTCACAAGACTGTCATTCCCATTTACCCCCTTGGGGCGGGGATGGCAGACCAGAGAGGCCTAGCTTGTGGCTAGGCCTGGGGACAGTTGGTCCCAAAGATGAGGAGGTACTTGTGCCTCCTCCCATGGGAGACTTAGGTCTCAGACACTCCCTAAAGAGGGAGCCAAGGCCGGGCCACCACTTGGAAAAGGCCCGGGCCGGGAGAATACAGGCTAATCTTTAATAATAATAATGTTAAAGTTCCGTAAACTTCAAGCTAGTCTCTCTCTTATCACTATTTTCCGGCATATAAGACGCACTTTTTTCCCCACTCAGGTCTTTGGGGAAATCAATCAGTAGTTTTGGTTACGCTTTAGCAGTTATTTATTAATGTCGCGTTACAAAATGCTTGGTAAAGTTGTGTTATATGCTCGTGCGTGTTATATGCTCGTGCGTGTTATATGCTCGTGCGTGTTATATGCTCGTGCGTGTTATATGCTCGTGCGTGTTATATGCCAGAAAATACTGTATTTTTTATTCTGATTACACTTAAATAAATTTTTCTTTATAACATATTTAACCTTTTTTTTGAGCTCTGCGGCAACTTACAGTCAAACAAATTTTAATAAAAACCATCAAAACATTAACTGAAAGATGGTATCATACTATTTAAAAATAATAATATAAACCATACCACGGGCGGGATTGAACCCGCGGTCAGAGAGTCTCAAAACTCCAAACCGCGGGTTCAATCCCCCCGTGGTCCCGGAGTTTTGAGACTCTCTGACCGCGGTTCAATCCCGCCCGTGGTATGGTTTGTTTACAGTCGTGTCATTATAAGTTCGTGAGTCATAATAATAATAATAATGATAATAATAATAAGATAAGATTTTCTTCGGATTTTGACCCCGGAGGGGTTAAACCACCAGGATAAACCCAAAAAAGTCATGAGTCCTCAGTCTTGTCCCCCAGTATGCGACCCACACCAGTCGACTAACACCCAGGTACCTATTTGCTGCTAGGTGAACATGACAACAGGTGTAAGGAAACACGTCGAAATGTTTCCACCCCACCGAGAATCGAACCCGGGCCACCAGGCCACCGGGGCACCCAATAATAATAATAATAATAATAATAATAATAATAATAATAATAATAATAATAATAATAATAATAATATTAATAATAATAAAATAAACTATATATATTCTTAAATAACTGTATTTACACAATGCTTAATGAGAGTAATCCAATAACCATAACACTAATAATGCTAATAATACCAGTGCTAATATTACTACTAGTAATAATAATAAAACATTAATATTAACACCACTAGTATTACTAATACGACCAATGCTATTTATCCTTATAGCTGACAAGCCAAAGGAATCCCTCGTAAGAAACAAGTGTCATTCCCATACCTGACTGAGAATATGTATCGCTTAAATTCCTTATGGGAAATGAGTATCATTGAAATCCCTTAATTGGAGCAAGAGTCACTGGAATCCCTCACATAAGAACATAAGAAGGAACACTGCAGCAGGCCTACTGGCCCATTCGAGGGAGGTCCAATTCACCCACCGGTTTAAGCCAATGACTTAAGGTAGTCAGGTCAGGTCACATTCACTAAGGAAGGAGCACGGCAACTGACCTAGTAGCACAGGGAGCAAGTGTCTTACTGAAATCTTATGTAGTGTGTGTGTGGAATCGCTTAAACATATTGAGTACCTGATTAGAATGTTGTATGCTTATTTAGCTGTCAGAATTATGTACTAACGACATTCTCTCTCCACTAATCCATTTTGTCCTAAATACTAACATTACTTTTCTTATCCCAGTATATATATATATATATATATATATATATATAAAATATTATATATATATATATATATATATATATATATATATATATATATATATATATATAGTCGTGCCGAATATGTAAAACTGGTCAATTAGCAAGAACTCATTTAAAATTAAGTCCTTTCTGAAATTTTCTCTTATACGTTTAAAGACATATTTTTTTCATTAATGTTAATGTAAAAATTTTAATTTTGCAAGAAAAGAATCTTAGAAAACTTACTTAACCTTATTATAACAAGAGCAATTTAATTTAGCCTAATCCACCTAAATATATTTTAGATTTCTTTACAGTAATTTAATACTAAACAAACACAGTGAAATATATTTTTTTCGTTAGGTTCAGAATGATTTTGGCGAAATTATTGCATACACAAATTTTCACTTGTCCTATATGGCAAGATGAGCGTTGCTATTTAAGCCAAGATCGCAAGTTCTGCCTATTCGGCATGACATTATATATATATATATATATATATATAATATATATATTATATATATATATATATATATATATATATATATATATATATATATATATATATATATATTAAAATGAATGTATCGTGATGTAGAAGGTAATATAATTTTAGAGTTTAATATAATTCTAAGATGGTTTTGGAAAGTTCAAAGTTTAAAACAACAATTATGAAGGTAACATAGTAATATGCACAAGACACAAACAACAGAAACAGAAATCCACAAACACTTAGTCTAAGCTTTGTCATGAAGCTCTCTGTGACCAGGTGACCTCCCCATTGGTGGATAAGTTCGACCCAATAGTATCCCACTTACAATAGCGATGAGAAAACCCTAGTTGAAAAGAAAGCTTTCCTAGGTGTAACGTTTTGCTCTATGGAGAGCTTGGTTAACCTCCTCTCAGAGCGAAATGTTGGTCTGTAAATAATTCTTACACCAGCTGTGTTTGTTCTCAGGTTCGCTAAGTACACAAGTCAGCCTCCTAACAATGCCACTGGAAAAATTCCTTACGCGAATATCTTGAACTCAGCGTAAATATTTTTTCCTCCCACAAAAATTAATGGGTTTGCTTGAGGGGCGGACCTAATCCAGATGATGGGGAGAGTTACCGTCGCTCTCGTACCTATTGATTAATTGCCTCTTACCTGACTTTGCAGTAGTGTCCGCCATTACTTCGGCATGACAACGGCCTTTGTAGCCACTCGAAGTGGCTTGACCAGGTGGATTGATCTCACCAGGGCTAATCCCATGGACGACGCAGCGCAGAACAACCACTCGGGCGAGCCGTAAGTAGACTATATATAGCCGTTCTGCTCCTCCTCTGTTAGTGTGACTTTGTCAATGGTCCAAGTCGGACCGAAACGTCGTCGTAAGCTTCTGTCTTTTATGTGCGGGTTATTTGTGTATTGTGTATAGACGTGGTTGTCTGGTGGAGAGTGGGAGAGTAAAGGATGAAGAGAGCACCATGGGGGAGGAAGATAGAGAGAGGAAGAGAGACAAGGAGTGTTGCAGTGGTAAAATGGGAGAGAGAAAGATATGAGGTGTACTTTGTGTGTGTGTGTGTGTGTGTGTGTGTGTGTGTGTGTGTGTGTGTGTGTGTGTGTGTGTGTGTGTAATACACAACATCCCTACCTTCCCTCACCTTCTCTCCCTGCTACAGGCACTTTATGAAGATGCACAACAAGGCCATTGATGAGGTGTGGTACAAGAGAGCTGTAGATTACTACGAGGAGGACAACGAAGCTTACGTTTACTCAGTGCCCTTCGATGCGGGTCAGTGCCGGATTGTTTGTAGGGGTTGAGCTGTAGCTCCCGGGACCTTCCATCACTTACATTTGATTCATGTGGTTTTTACCTTAACCCCTCGAGATTAGGAATAAATACTTTTCATTCCATGTATAAAGTCTGCTTCACCTACCTGGCTGGCTAACAGTACTGGATTTGGTCACAGGATCATTCAACTACAACTTAGGATCTTACTGTGAAAGGCTGAATTTCAAAGAGATCATTTTTTTCAATATTTGTTAATATAGAATGAAAAACAAAGAATTTGCGTATGTGTGTGTGTGTTTTCTCTTCGTTATAACTAACAACATTGTTCTCCCTTGCACGTCCAGCAACGAGAAACCCAGACGATGTACTGGTGACAGCGACCAGAGCTATCTTCATTGAGGAGAACTCCTACAGGAAGGCCCCAGCGGCGGTGGTCGGAGTTACCATCAAACACAGCAAGTTCGTTGAATACTTCAAGAACGAGACATACAAGGTGTGATACTAGTGCACGAAGATACAAATGCTTACATGCAAACACAAATACAGTGGTATCTCTCATGCCATGCTGGTCACATTCCTGAAATCTGCGCTGTATGCAAAATGCGGGATATGTAAATTAGTGCAGTGTGGTTTAGGAACTGAGCTAGTAAATCTAGAATTGCTAAACAGTAGGTTAGAGACACATCACTCCAACTGAATTGTTCCATTCGTTCATTGTAAATTTCAACATTTTTTTTTTACTTACCACACAGATCATCTCCCGCCAAGAAAGCGTGGCCTAAAAGAAAAAGTATTCACAATTGTTCATTCAATAGCTCCTTTGCCAAAAGCATGCAGGCATAACATTTCAAATGTGTATGCGAACTGCAACATCTCCCCCACCCTTCTTTCAGAGTGCAAGCACTATGCTTCTCGCCACTAGCACTCAAATCTGGCTAAAGGCACTCAGAGAATGTGATTTGTCTGATTTGAGTACTGGAGGTGGGATGTACAGTGCCTACAATCTTAGGGCGAGGCTGGGGCCATACAATCCGAAGATATCTGCAAGATATCTACTGAGTGAATGATCGTGAGCGTCCTTTCTTCTTTTCGAATCACTCAACTTGGTGGGAAAAGGCTGTGTTCTCATAGGCTCAGAAACCCTCGCCCGTGGGGAAAGAGCACATCCAAGTTCCTTCAGGAACTAGGCAAGAGACTCATCAGAAAAACTAAGGATCACAGAGCAGCTAGTTTTTCTATTCCAGTGACTCAGTACTGCAGTTCAGAATGGTAATGCCTGCTGTATACCTGATACACGTCCCAGCTCTGAGGAGCTGGATGAGATTTTTGTTATGTTGTTTTTGACAAACACATAACACTATGTACTTGTAATGTAGCCCTCAAACCTTATGTATTATATACTCCATCTCTGTGTCATCAATGTATCTTTTAAGTCTTGCTTACTATATTACTGTACGTAAAAGATATACCTATTTGGGCATTTACTAAAGCTGAGTTGGTGGTAGAAGTGGAATATTCAACTGACTTTAGGGAGAAATGCAAATATTTCTCCTCCTCCAAGGTTATGGATTCTCGGAATTTGCGCTAGAGATAGATATACCAGTATATATAATGTTTGTGTGTGTGTGTGTGTGTGTGTGTGTGTGTGTGTGTGTGTGTGTGTGTGTGTGTGTGTGTGTGTAGCGACTGTAAATATTTTTACCTTGATTGCTATCACTCGCTATATCTCTCTTCCTTACCATTTCTCCCTCACTATGTGTCTTTCCCTCACCTCTCTCCTTTACCTCGTGTTTCCCTCACCACGTTTCACTCCCGTCCAGTGCCCATCATACCCTTCTCGAGACTCTAACTGCAAGAAAGCCAAGACATGCGAGAGTAAGTCACTGGACTGCTACCTGCTGGACGACAACGGCTTCATCATAGCATCAGAGAACGACGACGACACAGGAAAGTTCTTCGGCACGTTAGAAGGTACCATCATGGAGTCCTTGGTGCAGAGCGAAGTATACAAAAGAGTCAGAATCTTCGACTACCAGGCGGTGTGTCTCGACACCCGCTTAGAGCCAAGCATAGCATCCATACTTGCCACGGTGAGTACAGCGAGTACAAGTTTTTTCAGTGATTACATTATTATCACAGTACACACTTATCACAGTGAGTACATGCTTATCACAGTGAGTACATTCTCTGTCACAGTGAGTACAAACTTATTACAGTGAGTACAAATACAGTCACCTGGAGAGTCTATGATCTGGAAGGACGGAGTGGCAGTCACAAACATTCCTTTATACTCGTTTGTGATTCGTCATATTTTCTTCTATCAAGTTTCTTTATATCACTTCACTGTATTTTTAAAACTCACTTCATTTGTATTTTCTTACCTGCAGCTTCAAGGTTACTGAATGAAAAAAAAAAGTTAATTTCCTCCATAGCAAAATAGAGAATGCAAAATATTTCACCCCTGTCCTTTATCGTTATTCTGCTGAAGAAAGATTAAAGGTCAGTTTTGCTCTTCGTGACTTATATTTAATTTTTAGCAAAAGTATCCATGTAGTTTTTTGTCACCAGCTGAGAAATCCTCACTAACATTAGTAGCAGCGACAAGAAATGCCAATTGTGAATCCAGGCAAATTCCACGAAACACGGAGATATCAAATATCTTTTAGTGTTGGAGAAATAAACACAAATGAGTGTAATGCGATCCTTTATTGGCGTCGTTTCGCCCACATACTGCATTTGTTTATTTTTCCATTATGTCGGTATTTTATACAATTTATCTCCACCATTTAGTGTTGCAATTACACGTGTTCTTGTGTTGATTGACTCGCACGGGTCATTCAACACAATTAGTGGTGTAGATGAATGGTTCGAAGAACCAACACGTTGTTAAATTAGACACATGTGCAACTCTTGGGTATCTTTATTGTGGATAAAGATACCCAAGAGTTGAACATGTGTCTAACAATTAGTGGTCGAGGCTAGAGCCTCTTTTCCAGCTAGGTTATCCATTCATGGAGCTGGTTACCTTGTAGCTAGCCACACTGATTCACTTCTTGACCTGACATAAGAACAAATGTTAGGAGGAACACTACGACAGGCCTACTGACCCATACTGGGCAGATGCTACTCAAACCCAAACCCACTTAAAATACTTGCCCATCCCATTTACAATGCTACTCAAGTAATAAGCTTGGGTAGCATTGTATTTTTCTTAATAAATAAGCTTGTCTTTTTCTTAATAACCATCTTCCTCATCCCCGCCTCTCCTCGTCTACCATAGCCTCTACAATGGATCCGGTGGATGGCAAATTGGATGATGGGCAACATCTTCTGGATGCTGGTGAAGACACATCTCTACACGTTATGGGATCCTAATCAGGCGTGGGCTTACACACACACTGAAAGAGACATCCAGTATCCAGATCTAGAGGAGCCGCCTCAAGACGTCTTCGACTATAAAGAGCCCAGCTTAGAAGAGCCGAGTATGTGACTCTTCCTTTGGTTCACTCTTTGCTCTTTCGCTCTATCTAAATGTGCCGCATAGCTCTATGTGAAGCACAAATTTGTGTATCAATGAACACAATGAATGTTGTTAGGTAAGACACATATGCAACAGATACTTAACTGTTGCATATGTGTCTTACCTAACAACCTGTCGGTATTTTATACCATTTGAATGTTCACAATGAATGTTGGAGGCTCGAGTCTCTCTCTCCTCTCATTCCATTTTCTACTTGTTTAATTTGCCTGAAAAAATAGTTTGAATATCCACCTCTTTTTTGCTCAAAAATTAATCGCCCTTTGCATTAGATATTATAAATCTTTTAAATATGTAAATTTGCCTCAGTGAAGATCAAATACATAAAATTTCTTTTAGTTTTTCAATGTTTTTCAGTTTATTCAAATATTTTTGTTGATTTTATTAGTCATGATTTCTTGCAACTATTATACATAGCAATTTATTTTTATTCTTTTTGGTTTTCTCTGATTTCAAAACATTTAGGCAAATCCTAATTTCTGCAATCTTAGCATAAAAAAAATATTACCTTAATTTTGGTATTTGTGTATATGAGCATTATTGAGTGGTTTTTTATCTGTCAAAATATAATAAAAACCCATTTTTCCCTCTTCGGTGTCGTCCTGTTCTAGCATGAACAATGTTTCCTGTTTCGTGTGTCAGTTCGTGAACACTTCGGTTCTGTGTGTCAGTTCGTGAACACTTCGGTTCTGTGTGTCAGTTCGTGAACACTTCGGTTCTGTGTGTCAGTTTAAAAAGATTTGCTACTGCCCTGTGTTAATTCATGAACATTTCCTTCTGTTCTTTGTCAGTTCATGAACATTTCCTTCTGTTCTGTGTTAATTCATGAACATTTCCTTCTGTTCTTTGTCAGTTCATGAACGTTTCCTTCTGTTCTGTGTTTAATTCATGAACATTTCCTTCTGTTCTTTGTCAGTTCATGAACATTTCCTTCTGTTCTGTGTTAATTCATGAACATTTCCTTCTGTTCTTTGTCAGTTCATGAACATTTCCTTCTGTTCTGTGTTAATTCATGAACATTTCCTTCTGTTCTGTGTCAGTTCATGAACATTTCCTTCTGTTCTTTGTTAATTCATGAACATTTCCTTCTGTTCTGTGTTAGTTCATGAACATTTCCTTCTGTTCTGTGTCAGTTCATGAACATTTCCTTCTGTTCTGTGTCAGTTCATGAACATTTCCTTCTGTTCTGTGTCAGTTCATGAACATTTCCTTTGTTCTGTGTCAGTTCATGAACATTTCCTTCTGTTCTGTGTCAGTTCATGAACATTTCTTCTGTTCTGTGTCAGTTCATGAACATTTCCTTCTGTTCTGTGTCAGTTCATGAACATTTCCTTCTGTTCTGTGTCAGTTCATGAACATTTCCTTCTGTTCTGTGTCAGTTCATGAACATTTCCTTCTTTTTCTGTATCAGTTCATGAACATTTCCTTCTGTTCTGTATCAGTTCATGAACATTTCCTTCTGTTTCTGTGTCAGTTCATGAACATTTCCTTCTGTTCTGTGTCAGTTCATGAACATTTCCTTCTGTTCTGTGTCAGTTCATGAACATTTCCTTCTGTTCTGTGTCAGTTCATGAACATTTCCTTCTGTTCTGTGTTAATTCATGAACATTTCCTTCTGTTCTGTGTCAGTTCATGAACATTTCCTACTGTTCTGTATCAGTTAATGAACATTTCCTTCTGTTCTGTATCAGTTCATGAACATTTCCTTCTGTTCTGTATCAGTTCATGAACATTTCCTTCTGTTCTGTATCAGTTCATGAACATTTCCTTCTGTTCTGTGTCAGTTCATGAACATTTCCTTCTGTTCTGTATCAGTTCATGAACATTTCCTTCTGTTCTGTGTCAGTTCATGAACATTTCCTTCTGTTCTGTGTCAATTCATGAACATTTCCTTCTGTTCTGTGTCAGTTCATGAACATTTCCTTCTGTTCTGTGTCAGTTCATGAACATTTCCTTCTGTTCTGTGTCAGTTCATGAACATTTCCTTCTGTTCTGTATCAGTTCATGAACATTTCCTTCTGTTCTCTGTTAATTCATGAACATTTCCTTCTGTTCTCTGTTAATTCACCAACATTTTCTTATATTGTAGTTGATCTACTGTTTGAAAAAATTTCAGAATTTTTTTTTTTTTACTGTATATCATTTACCTTCAAATATATCCCATATGATATTGATGTAATCTAATCCATTCATTATCCTTTGTTGTAGCCTCAGTGCAAGCTTAGTTATAAACTTTACTATAGATAATAAACTTAAGGGATGAAGTTCTCTAACAGCAACTTTCAAAATGCAAGTATTTTTTTTATAAGTCAGTGTGTTAGTTGGTACTTTCTTATAGATATTCAAATGGAATTTCGACTCTTTTTATTTATGAATTTCTTCACATTGTTTATTCTTCTGATTTAAACAATTAATACGCATTTGTTTACTTCTGATAATCTTATCTAATTTGTCTCCACCAAACACAAGTAATTTCCTTTTTCTCTTAAATCTAAAGAATATAAATTTTCGTGTACATTTCCCAGTTTTTCTTATATATTAATGTCTGTGTGCATTCCAAAGTCTCTTTAATGTTAATATTAGTGTCTGTGTACATTATCCATTTTCTCAAATACAAATGTGTGTGTGTGTACATTCCCGTATGGAAGTGGGTCACCGTGTATACACGGAGGCAGGACCTCAGGTGTGTCTAAAACCTCATTACGCACAGGGAGTGTTGATCTTCCTGAATACTTGGCAGACGACGGTACAGAGGAAGTTCTCCCCGAGGTAGCAGCGCCAGATGACATCCCCAGGAGTTTTGACTACGGTGACTAAGATCTGCGTGTTCTCACCTCAAATAACACGGTGTTGCACCTGTAAATGTACCAGCGGGTGCCACTGGAGGGATTAGAAGTAGTTGTACCCACTTTGACTAAGCATTCACTCGGCGCATCCCCGATCTGAGAGAGAAAAAATCTTAATATGCTGCAATTTAAGAAATTCCTTCCAAGCTTTGTAACTGATCTGATCTGTAAAATTGCGAATGATTCTTCTCAAGTTAATTTAATTCTTCCTCGAATTTTTCCTACTCAAAGATTTATATCCCAAAATACAGACTGTAATTATCAATAAGGAAACGAATAAAAATCTGTAATTCTCAGAAATAGATATTACTAACTGGTAAATTCGTGCTAGAGGTTAAGTAACCTATTAAGACTTCTAATTACATATCCCAGAGTCATCCAGCTGAACCATTCCATTTACCTACTTAGAGTACAGGTTTCTCCCTCAAAGACAGTGCAGCTATTGCCAAATAGGTACTCCTTCTGTACCGCTTCACAATCGCTTGAAGATTAATTTCTTT